GGATTTCTAATTTTTTCTAATATTTTATTTATAATTTGAAAATCACGATGGACGGTTAAAACTTATCAATTTACATTTACAGTCCATAGTTACATGTAAATTGATGGGTAATTCGCGTCAGGAACGAATTTCTAATTTTTTAAATATTTTATATCTATCATTCTCTAACCTGTATGTTTCCTAACGAATGATTCGGAACGGAGCACCCTTGTTAATTATGCTTTTTATGACAGAAATGTTATTTAAAAGTGGGTTGCTATTCCCATTGTCATTTGTGAGAAAACATGTTTTAACTTATGAGCAATTATATGTGAGACTAAATATTTTTTAATACCGGTCTTTCATGTAGGTTAGCGATTGTCATGACTAATATGTTAAAGGATAAATTTTTGAAAAAAATTGAAATTTTGAAATTTGTCTGGACGTTACAACAGAAAGTGTCGGTTCGATTTTCCTCGGCCAGTTACTGAGAATTTCGTTTTAAGAGACTTTATCACTTCGATAGTCGGTAGAAAAATTTACGCAGTAAGAGCAGATTGTACGATCTTCCTCGCAAGGAGTAGGAAAAGTTTATAAATGATTATAATCCGTCTATCAAATTAGCCTGGGAGGGAAATATGGACATACCATTTATTAGAGAAGAATCAGAGTTTTTAAACTCATATTTAACAAAATACACGACAAAGTCGGAAAAATGCAATACAGACTTTGAAGTGATAGATTCGAATAAGTCCTTGGCATCGAAACTGTGGAATTTTGCAATGCGTTCATTAAATAACAGAGAATGCGGTGCTTTAGAAGCTGCGGATACACTATTATGGAATCCCTTGTACGGTACGGATAATGATACCATGGTCAAATGGATCGATGTTAATGAGGTGAGAAATAGAAAAGTTAAAACATTTAATGAAATTTAAGCTCTCGATGAAAATTCTACGAATATTTACTGTTCGTCACTCATCAATGATTACTATCCAAATAGACCTCAGGAATTAGAATCATTGAATTTGTACGATTTTGCCAGATTCTGGGAAATTACGAAACAGATGTCAAATAATGACGAAGTCAAGTGTTACAAACTGGCATCGGGTTTATTTTTAAAAAAACGAAAAAAGGGTTATTTAATTAACCATTATCGATTTAATATAAAAACTGAGCCCGAAAAATACTTTTACTCGCTGCTTCTGTTCAAACCATGGAGAGATTTGAGTGAACTCAAAGGTACATTCGAGACTTACACGGATGCCTTTAAGAATTCAGAGTCTGTTTTAACGAAGGCAATGAAATATCACGAAAGGCTCGAAGAAATACAGAAATCTTTTGAGAACGTTGCTGAATTAATCGAGAAGCGCGAAAATGATCTGAAAACAGCAGACAGAGACAAATCCGATGACGATGAACTGGATTGTAATCCGATAGAAGCTGACGACGCGATGAAAGATCTGGAAGATTTTGGTAAGATTGACGACCCGATTGATTTATCGCAAATGATGTCGCAATTGAACAAAGACCAGAAAAGAGTCTTTGATGGAGTATGCCAAGTTTTACAAGATAAGAATCAGATTCTGCGACTGTACGTAAGTGGCGAGGGTGGTACAGGGAAAAGTTTTCTAATTGAAACGATTAAACATTGGATCAGAATAAATTTGGAAAAAACGACTGCCATATCTGCTCCCACGGGTATCGCAGCATTTAATATCGATGGCTTGACAATCCATAGAATGTTTCAACTACCGGTTAGTCATGAATTTACACCAAAATGTACGCAATTGTCAGACATGGTCTTGAAAATTTTAAGAGACAAATTAAAGAATGTCGAATTATTTATAATCGAAGGAATTACTTGTAACAATGCAATGATGGATTTAGGAACGAGTGTATTCAGTGATGGTCAAGCCTATGTAGGTTTGTCACGAGTAAGTAAATTGGAAGGCCTACATTTTACTTACAAATTTCAATCCAGCATCAGTTAAAGCAAACTCGAGAGCCATTGTAGAATATAATCGACTAAGATCTATATTCAAATCTGAACTGCCACAAATCAATCCATCCGAGAAAAAGGTTGTGAAAATGTACGATCGTCGATGGGATATCCCTAATATCATTGATGATATGCAGAATTATGATTGTGAGGAACCAGAAAGTATAGTTACGTGGAAAATATATGGCCTTTGCAATAACGATGCTGTTTCGTGTTACGCTAATGTAATATTACAATGTGCGTTTCATTGCGTACGTATTAGGTGTTACGTCCAATAATTCACCCGGCGGCAAATTACCTTCTGCACAAGTCGGTCTTCTCTCGCGTCTACCTCGGTGGACGTTTAAGAAGCTGCTCTCTATTTGTTTTATGGGCAACCTGCTAGGCCGGCTATACCCAGGAAAGTCGAGAGCTTGAGATTCGATTGAGAGTATCGGACAGAGAAGGAAGCTGACGGGTCGGGTCGATAAATAAAGATATTTTACAAGTATAATGTCATTTATTCATTTATAAAACCTTTACGTCGATATAAAATTTATTGGTCCTGACGTGATTCGTGGGGGGCTTGAGATTGAGTTACAATATTACTGAGTTCCTGTTTATAATTGTTAGGCTGATTAAGGTAAGTAATAAAAGAAGCGAAGTCGTCCTGAGCTTCTTCAGAGACGAAGTTAGGAGTGTCGTCGGATGTGAGGTTCGCGGTGTCCTCGTCAAGAATATTAAAGTTTTGTTCGTGGTTAAATTGTAAGAAAGGATCGTATTCTGACGATACAATTTGTTGGCTTTGATCTGGGATATAATATTCAGGGTCGGAGAAGAAATGATTATTTGAGTTTGTTCCTAACGTATTTGGTTCTGAATGCGACGGATCCGGAAATTGCGGGTGAGAATAATCGATATAAGGTGGAAGGTTATTTATAGGTGAATAGACGTCGGGAGAAGTGGGTCGAACGATTACTCGCGTAGGAAAGATTTGGACATGTAAGTTTAAGGCTCTTCTTGTTCTACGTTCGCATAGTCTATGGAGACGTTGCTCGTCACGATCAATTTGATTCTTCCTTCGGAATGGAGAGACCATCTAACGGTTAAATAAATTTATATGAAAGATACGTTTTATATAACTGAGAGAATTAAATAATCAAAAGTAATCGAGTATGACTTACGTTTAAGGGGATCCTAATCGTTCTTTCTTACCGACAAATCGATTATTTTTTTCATGCATGCTAATGTTTTTATTGGTTTCATAAAATGGGAAATCCTTTTCCACGATTAAAATACACATCGAAACAGAGTCGTGGAAGATCGATTTTGTAGTAAAAGACGAAAAAAGTTTAAAAAGAGAGAAAAATAGTAGTTGGCCCATATTCCGTTAGGCGGCGCTACAATCGGTTTTTCTTTTGTGCTTCGATCTCGCACGCGTAAAAATGCAAATTTTTGCGCACGCTAAATAGCTTTATTAGACTATGAAATCTATTTTTCAAGGTTTAGTTAGATTCTTTGATACAATCCCTAGTCGTGGAAAGTCATACTTTGTACACAAAAGCTGCTAAACTTTTGTAATAGATGTTTTTATGAGAGTCGACGCACGCCAAGAGCCGACGCTAACAATAAAAGCCAACGACAGAGCGATATATAGGGTGTGCCGTAATTAGCTCAAAACCTAGCAGATTCTTATGATTTTATATATATATATATATATATATATATATAATAGTGTATTATAATAAGATAAGAAATTATATAATAATATATCACTACTTATATATCAATAATAAATAATTTAGATTGTATAAATGGCTTCAATGTAATCTAGTTTGCTATGCTGCAAAATATTTCTGTAGCAAAAAATACCTTCGCAATAACAATACGCGATTTTCTGTATCTTGATCTAATAAGTACAAATTTTAGCAAGTTTTTCTATTCATTATATATATTCACAATAAATTTTTTTAAATTGAAAATTTATATTTAATTATTTATAGAAATAATATTATGCCAGATGCAAAGTAAGTAAGAATAATCTTTCTGTATCATTGCTGATTTTTTAGTTCATATATAACATATTGGTAATATTTTACATATTATTCATATAGTGAAAAATAAAAAATCCATATATATATTGCATATATATATGGATTTTTTACTTTTCATATATATATATATATATAATAGTGTATTATAATAAGATAAGAAATTATATAATAATATATCACTACTTATATATCAATAATAAATAATTTAGATTGTATAAATGGCTTCAATGTAATCTAGTTTGCTATGTTGCAAAATATTTCTGTAGCAAAAAATACCTTCGCAATAACAATACGCGATTTTCTGTATCTTGATCTAACATATATACAATATATATATGGATTTTTTATTTTTCACTATATGAATAATATGTAAAATATTACCAATATGTTATATATGAACTAAAAAATCAGCAATGATACAGAAAGATTATTCTTACTTACTTTGCATCTGGCATAATATTATTTCTATAAATAATTAAATATAAATTTTCAATTTAAAAAAATTTATTGTGAATATATATAATGAATAGAAAAAATTGCTAATAATTTGTACTTATTAGATCAAGATACAGAAAATCGCGTATTGTTATTGCGAAGATATTTTTTGCTACAGAAATATTTTGCAGCATAGCAAACTAGATTATTTAACATTAATATTTTACTTAGATTTGATGTTTCTTTTATAATGAAAGTAGAAATGTTTTTTTTAAATATTCTTTATTATTTTTCCCCAAAGGTTTTGTAATACAATAACATATATTTAGTAATTTTATCAATTAATGAATATTAAATATTATAATATAATATTTTTTGAAAAATATAAAATAAATAAAAATTACATCGAGTCAAACGCATAAAACTAAACTATTGAAAAAATAATTTATAATGAATACATAGTGAGAAAATAATTAATTATGTATAATAAAATCATAAAGATTCAGAATTTAAAAAATTATTGTCGCCAAAAAGTTTAAGAGAATGATTTATATATTCTAAAAACGCCCCGGCGGTGGATACACCGGTGCCAGTGCCGCGTACGCTGCTGGTGCCGGGTATGTGGTTGCTGCCGGATATGTTGTTGGTGGCGCGTACCCTGGTGTAGCGTACCCTGGTGTAGCGTACGCTGGTGGAGCGTACCCTGGTGTAGCGTACGCTGGTGGAGCGTACGCTGGTGGGGCGTACGCTGGTGGAGCGTATACTGGTGGAGCGTGTGCTGGTGGAGCATACACCGCGTACGTCGGTGTAGGTAATGCTGTCGGAGGATATGGTGGAGCCATTGCATACATGTATGCTGGTCGCGCGCGCGTGTTACGTTTTCTTCTTTCTCTATTTACTGCCCGCCGAACCGCTTCGTTTACTTTCTGTAAAAATAAAGATTATAAGCATACTGTGTGTGTGTGTGTGTGTGTGTGTGTGTACATACACGCACACAAATCAAATTTATTTATGTATGAGTGTGTACATATATGTACATACATATATACAGGTTATTGTAATTGTAACAGAGCAAAATAAAAAATGTGATAAGAAAAAAAAAGATGTGGACAAAAATCAGTAAATTACAATGCAAATTCTACAGATCGAATAAAAACTGTATATGTGCATGTATATATATAAACACACTGAAATGATTTTATTACAGATGTTTTACTTATTATAAATAAAAAAATATTATTTGTAAAAAACATAAAAAAAGTAAAAAAATTTTAATATTTGCAAAATCATTATTTCTCCAAAAAATGTAGTACACACCATTTTTCTAAAGAACAATGCAATGAATAAAAGAAAATGCAAAAGTTTCAGTTTTATATGAAACAATATTTGTTTCATAAAAGCTGAAACATTTGCATTTTCAATTTTTGTTTCATAAAAAACTGAAACATTTGCATTTTTTTTATTCATTGCATTATTCTTTCAAAAATGTGTACATTTTTTGGAGAAATAATGATTTTGCAAATATAAAATTCTTTTTCAATTTTATTTATGTTTTTTACAAATAATATTTTTTAATTTATAATATTTTTAAAAACTCTGAAATAAAAATCATTTCAGTGTGTTTATATATACATGCACGTATACAGTATTTATTCGATTTGTACAATTTGCATTGTAATTACAATTTACTGATTTTTGTCCATATTTATTTCTTTGCTTATCACATATTTTTTATTGTGCACTGTTACAATAACAATAGCCTGTATATATGTATGTATATATGTGTACACTCACATACATAAATAAATTTTATTGTAGACTTGTTATAAAATTAGCCCTTTATACAAAACGTATATATTCATATATTTATCAACAAAAAATTTAATTTAAAATATATATTTTTTAAAAAAAATTAGAAAAAATTATTTCAATAATTTAGTGCAATAAAAATAACTGCGCGGTCAATTTTACTACAAAAATTAATTACCAACCTTTTGCATTAGTCTATTCACCGCGTCGTTCCTCGGCGGGGCTGCGTCAATCCTCGGCGGGGCTGCGTGGGCTGCGTCGTTCCTCGGCGGGGCTGCGTCAATCCTCGGCGGGGCTGCGTTGTTCCTCGGCGGGGCCGCGTCTATTCTTGGCGGGGCCGTGTCTATTCTTGGCGGGGTCGCGTCTATTCTTGGCGGGGCCGCGTCTATTCTTGGCAGGGCCGCGTCGTTTCTCGGCGATGCATTATTAATCGATCCTCCTGAAAATTTAAAATTATTTTGGTCTAATTTGTTTTCGACAAAATAAATACTAAGACTGCGATCGGGACGAACGATCGGAATATCGTTGTTCTATGTTTCACGAGAATAAACATTGAATATTTCGAAGCATTCATAGCGTTTTTTCCGATCATAGCCTAATATATATGTATATATGTATATATGTACATATGTGTGTCTGTGTATGTATTTATATATTTTGTAATATTGTCATGAAAGAGGAATAATGTGTGTGAGAGAAAAAGAGAAAGAAAAAAAATAGAGAGAAAGAGAGAGAAAAAGAAAGGAATAGAGAGAAAGAGAGAGAGAGAGAGAGAAAGAGAGAGTATATGTGTTACAAAACATCGACACATTCTTTACCCGCGCAAAAGAAGTCCTTATTTTTCTCTCCTTATCCTTCTATGCTGTTTGAGACATGTATGCTAATTTAAACTATATAGTTCCATGAGTCTAGTTATGTATATATATCTATGATAATACACTTATACATGTCTATATATCGCATACAATTTGTATAAAATATTGCCGTACACACACGCACTCTCTCTCTCTCTCTCTCTCTCTCTCTCTTTTCCTTCTTCCTTTCTCTTTCTCTCTCACACACATTGCTATTTCGTGACAATATTACAAAATACATAAATATATACAGACACATACAGGCATACATATATATACATATACATATATTAGGCTATGGTCGGACAAGACGCAATGAATGCTTCGAAATATTATGTTTATTCTTGTGAAATAATAAAGGACAAAGATAAAATAATATTCCGATCGTTCGAAAATTCGAAACATTATTCTATATGCCTGATACGTAATAAAAAAATATATTTCTACTTACTACTTCTTCTTGTAGCGTGCGATGATCTCTGCATCTTTGCTGCACATCTGATCCGACTGATCGACACGAGACACGAGCACGACTCAACACGATTCGCACAAGACAACGACGCGACGCAACTGGACGACCAGGACGACTGCTACGAAAACGAAACTGGACGAAACGACGAAACAAATGAGCGGCGTAAACAGCACACAAGTGCGACTATGTATGTGTACATACGTATATACGTGTGTAGGTTTGCAAGCAGCGACACGAAAACAACAGCGTGCGCGCACGTGCTTCTGGCGTTCGACTTCGAGTAGTAGAAGAGGACACCCTGTATATATGTATAATGTTATAAACAATTTATCCATTTATTTATCCTATATATACGTACATTGCACCAAACATTTTTATGAATATATATATATATATTTTTTACGAATGATTTTCAAGAATATTTTGTTTTGGGGATATATATATATAAGTAGATATCAATGTAATTACATATGTCTAATGTTATATCATGAATATGATAATTTTATCCTTTATATTGAAAGTTCTTATTTCTCCTGTATTTCATCGGTTGCATAAAACATTTTCTTCAAGATCATTTTGCTTCGAAAATATTTTTAAAAATAGAAGATACTTAAAAATTATATGTATAATATTATACACACACACACACACACATATATATATTATATATGTGTGTGTGTGTGTGTGTGTATAATATTATACATATGATTTTTAAGTATGTTCTATTTTTAAAAAATATTTTCAAGCAAAATGATCTTGAAGAAAATGTTTCATGCAACCGATGAAATACAGGAGAAATAAGAACTTTCAATATAAAGGATAAAATTATCATATTCATGATATAACATTAGACATATGTAATTACATTGATATCTACTTATAATTTTTACATTGTTACGTGAGAGCTAAAAGACAGGTGCCGGCGCTTACATGATTCTTGAGACGTTAGGTATATGTCTCGAGAAAGAAAGAGATAGCAGATTCTTGTCTGCGCTCTTCTACCTGAACGTCGAGCCGTCGAGCAGTATATGTATGTACACATGGTTTCTTCGTCATGTGGGCAGCGGACGAATGTGACATTTCTTCGACGAGCGTAGTTGGCTTTTCCCTAATCAAGATTTTATGTTGCCACGCTCTCTTTCTCTCTTTCTCTCTCTGTCTCTCTCTCAAATTTCTCGAGCTACTGTACACACATATACATGTGTAAAGTATATAAATATATGTATGAAAGTTTGCTTTGATTTTATTTTTATACAAATATGTGTAAACGTGAAACAATAATCTGACTTAAAAAAAATTCGATTTATAAAGTTCCTAAAAATAATTTTACTCCATTATTGTTATAAACAAATTATGTCGAGACAATAATAATTTGGTTTATTACATATCGAGGCATAATAATAATTCCAAATTTTTTAGTGTGACGACATAGTTTTAATTCACTAATTTCAACAAATTAGTAATATTCCTGAAAAGAATTCATCAAATTTTTCATTATGTCCCGACGTGTAATTCAACAAATCATTATTATGCTACAACATAGTTACAATTGAGTGAAATTATATCCCAATAAAAATGTCGTAATAAAAATTCTCAATTATTCTTAAATAAATACCGCACTGTGTGTGTTATTATGTTCTGGCAATTTTAATTACTCAATTGAATACAATTATTCTTTGAAACTTAGCGACGTGCTACAGATTTGTTTCACGTTTACTCATATATTCGTATAAAAAAATTAAAATAAATTTTTTTACATATATTTATATATTTTAAACGTGTATATGTGTGTATAATTGCTCGATAAATTAGGAGAGAGAAAGAGAGGGAGAGAGAGAGAGAGAAGAGAGAAAGAGAGAGAGCGTAACCATTTTTTTTATCTTCTTTCAATGGTTGGAAAACCCGATTTGATTGGCGAGATATCATATTCGCCCCTCTCACGCGTATATTTTTTTTAAATGATAAAAATAAATAAATCCATCAATATTTATGAAAAATAGGTTTTCTTTTAAATAATGTATACACGTAAACTTGATATGATACACAAAATAGAAATTATTATATATAATAATTGAAACATCTATTGAAATATTTTAATTTTAAACGTTTATATCTCTTAAAATAATATTTGTTATTATTACATTTTTTATATATATTATATATATATATATATATAAATAATATTTGTAATGTACAAATATTATTATATATATACGTATATATATATATATATATATATATATATATATATATATGTATATCAGTGCTCGGAATTATCTCAGCATTTCAGCCGATTTTCGTATGTCGACGCCTCCTTTTCTCCCTTTGCCGCGCGCGCTGCAGCCGCTAGGACGAGCGCGGCCGAGCCTCAGGAACGGTACTATCCAATTATGATACGATCTTTCTCCCTTGATTTTTAAAATTTCAAAAAATGTATTAAACATAATTTTTTTATATAATATTATTATTATGATTATATACCGTTTGATGAAGCATGGCAAAAGTATTTTTTAATCATAAATTTATGTTTATATTTTTATATTTTTATTGTTTTATCATAAATTCTCCTCTCTATTTTTTCTCTACAGTGGAATAGGCCTACTAGGGGATACCACTCTAAAAAAACACGTCAGCAATAATACCTCACATGAAAATATATTGAAATATTTCTACGTATAATGTAAAAATAAAAAAATTATGTAATACATTTTTGAAATTTTAAAAATCAAGGGAGAAAGATCGTATCATAATTGGATAGTACCGCTCCTGAGGCTCGGCCGCGCTCGTCCTAGCGGCTGCAGCGCGCGCGGCAAAGGGAGGAAAGGAACATACGAGAATCGGCTGATAATATATATATATATATATATAAATATATATAAAAATTTTGTCCCAACATTATTCATCAAATTATTATTATGTTTGACATAATTATAATTTCTACAGAATCAATCAGAAACTTTTATATTGAATGATTTTTACTCTGCCAATAATTATGTCAAACAATAATAATTTAATGAATAATGTTGGGACAAAAATTTTTATTATGTCACGATATAATTTGCATCAATTTTGTTTTATGTCTCGAAGTCATTTTTCAAATGTTTTAGAAAATTATTTTTTCATATTTTTTTATATTGCATGAAATTTTTTTACTCGGCATGCAATTTTTATTCCTTTATATTCATCATAAAAAAGATGTTTACTTATAGACAAATATACATACAGTTTGCAGTTTTTTAGGTATAAATGTGTTGTAATTCAAAACGTTCTTCTAAATATTTAGTTCACCTTTGACAATATTATTATATCTATGTGATAAGTATTTAGCTAAAATTAAATACCACTAATCACTTTATGTATATACAAACGTTTTAAAAAAAACGTGAATCAAATAAAAATACATATGATAATTATATGTATAAATAATTATGTCTAATAGCGAGTTTACGTATAAACATTTCTTACAAATCAATGTCTTTTTCGTCGTGAATATATAAACAGATCTACATATATACAAAAATAAAATAAGTTATTTTGCTTACGCGCCAAAAACGTCTATTGCGCGTATGACCGGGCTGGTACATACCTACACTTGCGCGCATTGTGTACTGCTATCTGTACGCGGCTTGCAGTAATAGCGCGAGATAACAGCTGACTTACACACGTTGAGTCTAGACAGACTGTGTATATACGTGTAGTGAAAGCTGTATAGTGTTTATAGTAGTAAGTGTATAGAAGTGTTTAGAAGAGTGTATACAAGTAAAAGAAGAATATATTATAAAAGTGATGGGAAGAAAATACGACAAAACACATTTGCCTCTCACTCGCCGCAGGATGTCGCGAAAGAAAGGATGGATGAAAAGGTTAGTAACACCATTTTAAATTTAGGTGTCCGAAAATTCGCAGAACACCCTGGGAAGGTAGAGAGTGTTATCTGAACAGAAAAGTTCTGTATCATTCTCTACCTTCTCGAGTGTTCCGCGAATTTTCAGACATCCTGTATAGAACTTGGGTTCGGCGAAGCAATCTGAAACGTCTGGATGCTCTTTTGACTCATTCTGTTATTTATTATATATAAATTTATTAGTGATGTAAAAAATACTTTGAAAAAAAAAAATATTTTTAATAATTTTTTTCTTACATTAGATTTATACAGAGTGACCAGAAGTCCAAAAAAGGTGGAATATTTCATGAATAATGCGATTTTTAAAAAAATATTTTAAACTAAATTCGTAAAACAAGGCGTATCATAATTTTATAACCCAATTATATTGTACCTTACAGTTTTTTAAATTTTAATGAAAATAAATTAAACTTACAATATAATTATATATAATTATAGATAAATAGACTAAAAGTAGAATTACACAAAATACTGTGGCCTGAAATTTGCCAATCAGTGTATTGTAATAGAACAAAAATAGAGTAAAGAAAGAGACGTCTGCAACGTCTTAGATTTACTTTGCCGAACCCAAACAGAGTATCCCAACGTATTCCAAGCTTTGAGTGCATAAAGAATAAAAAAAAATTTTATAATTGTTGCAAAAGATATAGCAAGCATAGTGCCCCCAACTAGTTTATAAATGACATTTGGCCTGTCATTTTCTAACTATAAAAAACAATTTTTCCTAGTTTTGCTCCCTAACTCTATAATGTCCAGAGAGAAGGTTATTTTTATTTCTTTTCTCTATCGCAAATATTTTACATTATCACACATCAATTTTTTGCTAAATTCTAATAAACCAAAGACACCAAAAAATTTTTTTTATTCTCGAATAAGAACTCAATTAAAAATTTTAAATAAAATAAAGAAATGGCCTTTTCAGTACGTTCCTTTCGAGGTTCAATCACAAAACTTTTACAGAATATTTTGTCTTTGTCTCAATACTCTCAAATTGTTTCAAATTTTTCGAGTTGGTGCATCATTTAAAAAAAATAAAAATTACTTTTTTTGCATTATTTCCAAACATTATTTATTTTTCTTATAACAATTATAGTTTTGATCATACATAAAAAATATAAAATTATGTTTATACAAAAATTACAGCAACTTTTACAAAGATGTAATCGAAAAGTAAATTTCTATATGAGAAGAAATTAGCTCTTTTAAATTTTTGAATATAATGCTAAAAAATAGTTTTTATTTTTTTTAAGATATTCCAACAACTTGAAAAAAATTGAAAACTTTGAAAGTATTCAGACATAAAAAAAAGAATATTCTGTAAAAGTTTGGTTATTGAACCTCGAAAGAAACATTCTGAAAAGGCCATTTCTTTATTTTATTTAAATTTATCGAGTTTTTATTCGAGAAACCAAAAAAAATTTTTTTAGTGTCTTTGGTTGATTCTGCAAAAAATTTATGTGATGATGTAAAATATTTGCGATAGAAAAAAGAATTAAAATAAAAATAACCTTCTCTCAGGAAATTATAGAGTTAGGGAGCAAAACTTTTGGAAAAATTGTGTTTTTTACAGTTAGAAAAAGACAGGCCAAATGTCATTACGAAACTCGTTGGGGACACTTTTATAATAGCATGCTTACCCAGCTATGAACTTTGCTCATTTTTGCTTTATTTTAAAAAAAATAAAGCCACGTTGGTAAATTCATTCAAATATGTACATATTGTTACATGTATTATTAATTTACTTGTACACTTCTAATGAGTAACAGACTAATTTTAAATAAAAAGAGAATAAAATAAACGCAAACAAAAAAAACCATACAATAATTTTGTTATCACGGCTCTATCTTATTTTACTTCAAAGATTTTTAATTTGCTCTATTAAATTTTATATTTTGCAATGTTTATTTTATGATATTTTTTGATATATTTTATTACTGCTTTAAATTTCTGTACCATATTTTTTGTTTGCATTATTATTAAATAAAATACGTTATAGAAAAAAAGAAAGTTTCCTAAAATAAAATTATAAAATTATAAATAAATGCAAGATAGTAACCTGCTTACTTTTATTTGTTTATATTTACATCTCTGTTGTTTTCTTACAAATTATATTACAGTTATTACTCTTCAAAAATGTACATGTGAATTCATTAGACTGGTGACAATATATCGCGTACATTCAAATGTTGAATAAACTAATATTTTTTTGGTGATTTTCTACAACACAGCATAAATGAGTAAATCTGAAATATAATATTTTCTCCATTTTTTTTACACACCCAAAGTTTTGATATTTTGAGATACGCTGTATAAAAATTGTGGAAATTTTTTTGTTCTGTTTTACAATAATTTTATATATAATAACAATTAAATAATATTTTATATATTATTTGTTAACATTTTTTAATTACAAATTTGTTATTTTAAAAATTATTATAAATTATTATTAGAAATTATATTTAAATTGTTTTTTACTTACATTTTTAAAACATTTTTATTTCAAATAAAAATAAATAAAAAATAATAAAATAATAAATTTTATTTAAAAAAATTTTTTCATATTTTTAATTTTTATATACTTTACTAGTACGAACTGTACTAATTTTTTTACCAAAGTATAAAAAATACTTTTTGTATAATTTTTAGATACAGAGTAATTGACAACTTGTTCTTGAAATGTTATATCCATGAGTGAATTCTGAGACAATGCTAAAAGCCTATTTTTGTAATTATTGCTATTTTGTTATATTGAGAAGGATATACTACAAAATATTTTTATTTTAATACTTGTAAAAAAATTAGTTATTACCAAGAAAAAATAATATAATAATACCGTAAAAGTATAAATAAAAAAATCTGTTTATTTTTATTTTGTTCTATCTTGAAAACAAAATCTTTGAAAATAAATTACTTTATACAATATATATACTAAATTTACAGAGTAGTGGTAGTAGTAGTAGTAGTAGTAGTAGTAGTAGTAGTAGTAGTAGTAGTAGTAGTAGTAGTAGTAGTAGTAGTAGTAGTAGTAGTAGTAGTAGTAGTAGTAGTAGTAGTAGTAGTAGTAGTAGTAATAGTAGTAGTAGTAGTAGTAGTAGTAGTAATAGTAGTAGTAGTAGTAGTAATAGTAGTAGTAGTAGTAGTAGTAGTAGTAGTAATAGTAGTAGTAGTAGTAGTAGCAGTAGCAGTAGCAGTAGCAGTAGCAGTAGCAGTAGTAGTAGTAGTAGCAGTAGTAGCAGTAGCAGTAGTAGTAGCAGTAGCAGTAGCAGTAGCAGTAGCAGTAGCAGTAGCAGTAGCAGTAGCAGTAGCAGTAGCAGTAGCAGTAGCAGTAGCAGTAGCAGTAGCAGTAGCAGTAGCAGTAGCAGTAGCAGTAGCAGTAGCAGTAGCAGTAGCAGTAGCAGTAGCAGTAGCAGTAGCAGTAGCAGTAGCAGTAGCAGTAGCAGTAGCAGTAGCAGTAGTAGTAATATAAAGAGTATTATACTTTTATTATTACAGTTGTTAGCACCAGAGGCGATCTTTTCGTGGGCTGGTTATATAAAATCCAGAGGCGGTCTATTCGTGTGCTGGTTATATAAAATCCAGAGGCGATCAATTCGTGTGCTGGTTATATTAAATCCAGAGGCGATCAATTCGTGTGCTGGTTATATTAAATCCAGAGGCGATCAATTCGTGTGCTGGTTATATTAAATCCAGAGGCGATCAATTCGTGTGCTGGTTATATTAAATCCAGAGGCGATCAATTCGTGTGCTGGTTATATTAAATCCAGAGGCGATCTATTCGTGTGCTGGTAACTTTCTAGATTAGAAACGATTTGCATGTGTGTTCTGGTTATACAAAATTTGATCCAGAGGCGATCTTTTCGTGGGCTGGATTATATAAAATCCAGAGGCGGTCTATTCGTGTGCTGGTTATATTAAATCCAGAGGCGATTTATTCGTGTGCTGATAATTAAAAAAAATATTACACAATTACAATTACAATTTTACATTAGATGTGGTTTGCATGTGCGCTACAGTAGTAGTATTTATATTGTTAGCTATCTATTTTTTCAGTAATACATAATTTTATAATTAATAATTTATTTTTAATTGTACATTAAATAAAGATTTATTTTAAAAGATTTTGTTTTCAAAAATATTTAAATATTTTTTTATAATTTTTATAATAATATTTAACAAAATACTTATCAATAAATGTTTTCTTGCAGGCGACAGTTACTTATCAGTGAGAAGACAAAGCAAGACGTAAAAAACTTGTCAAAGATGTGTCAAATTGTAAGTGATACAGGTATGTATAATGTCGAACAAGATGTTCGATTAGCTAATAAATTAGACTCGAGAAGCATTGAAGATGTTAGTATGGAATCCGTCGACTTTAAAACATCGGATGAATTATTTCCCGATATGACGTATTCAAATATCAAAACAATGCAGTGTCTCGAGTCAAATACATGCATGTATGTCGAACAAGATATTCGTCTTTTCGACGATAACGAAAAGTTAATTGACTCGAGAAGCGTTGAGGATACTAGCGAATCCGTCGATTTAAACAAATCGGAAGAATTATTTCCCGATACGACGGATTCAAATATCAAAACAATGCAGTGTCTCGAGTCAAATACATGCATGTATGTCGAACAAGATATTCGTCTTTTCGACGATAACGAAAAGTTAATTGATTCGAGAAGCATTGAGGATACTAGGAATCCGTCGATTTAAAAAATCGGAAGAATTATTTCCCGATACGACGGATTCAAATATCAAAACAATGCAGTGTCTCGAGTCAAATACATGCATGTATGTCGAACAAGATATTTGTCTTTTCGACGATAACGAAAAGTTAATTGACTCGAGAAGCGTTGAGGATACTAGCGAATCCGTCGATTTAAACAAATCGGAAGAATTATTTCCCGATACGACGGATTCAAATATCAAAACAATGCAGTGTCTCGAGTCAAATACATGCATGTATGTCGAACAAGATATTTGTCTTTTCGACGATAACGAAAAGTTAATTGACTCGAGAAGCGTTGAGGATACTAGCGAATCCGTCGATTTAAACAAATCGGAAGAATTATTTCCCGATACGACGGATTCGAAAATCCAATCAATGCTGTATCAGAAGTCAAATACAGCTATGTATTCTGTAAAGCAAAATGTTAAACTTGGCATAGATAAATGTTTCGAAAGCATGTATATTGATGATTCCAATGACTCCAAAAGCATGCATTATGATAAATCCATTGATTTTGAAAAATCGGTAGAATCATTTACCGATACAATGGATTCTAATATTCAAGTAATGCGATGTCTAGAGTCAAATACAGATATATGCAATGTAGAAAATGGTGTCGAAGATGACAAATATTATGTTATAGAAAAAATTAAAAAGAGCTCTATTGATAAAGATGATATCAAAGAAAATTTGCCTGCAGGCCGTCGCATTATGGACTTCTCTTTTATATGGACTGAGCTGCACAGAATCTTTGACAGACATAATAAAGCACTGGACTGCTCGTCAATTGAAAATTTGTTACTTATAAAGTCTGAAAAATGTGGGTTGAAAACCCAGCTGTTCTTCCAATGTAAAATGTGCAAAACAAAAGCCAGCATTTGGTCAGAACCCACAAAACCGGAAATAATGGACATTAATACGGCTGCTGTAGCAGGAACACTTACTGTGGGAACTGGTTATGCCCAGCTGGAAAAGCAGCTTGCAGTCATGAATGTTCCTAGCATGTCCGAGCCAATGTACATCAAGAGTAGAGACAAATTAGTCGACGAGTTTGTAAACACATCTATAGAAAATATGAAAACGGCTGGTGAAATTGAAAAAAAAATCGCTCTTGATAACAACGAAGTTATAAACGGTATTCCGTATATAACAGTTGTAGCGGATGGTAGTTGGATGAAAAATCGTATGGTACCACGTACGACTCTCCTGCCGGTATTGGAGCCATAATTGGTTACCGCACGAGAAAGGTTCTCTACGTCGGTGTTAAAAATAAATATTGCATAATATGCGATATGGCAGAGCGAAGAGGTATCGAGCCGAAAACTCACAATTGCTATAAAAATTTTGATCGCAACGTAAGCTCCACAAAAATGGAGAGCGATGCCATTGCAGAAGGTTTTAATTGTAGCCTCGAAATGCATGGTCTAATTTTTAAAACGCTTGTTGCTGACGGTGACAGTAGCGTATACCAAAGTATTAAAAATAATAATCCATACGGAGAACATATGATAACAGTTACCAAAATAGAATGCACGAATCATCTGCTACGTAATTTATGTAAAAAAATTAAAACTGTAGCAGAGAAAACTCGGCCAAAAACATCCAGACGGCCTGGCTTAATACAAGTGCGAAATGTAATAAAAAACAAAATTTTAAAAATACGAAAGGAAATAACTGAGGCAGCCGCTCTACGAAGACAAGAACGGCAACCTCAACATCGTCAGGCTATGGAATTACAAAAAGATATTTTAAACATTCCTAGGCATGTTTTTGGCGATCACAAGCAATGCAAAGAACGTGGCAAAGAGACTTGCGATGGAGAAGAAAATTATATAGATTCTTTAAAATCACATGGTCTTTATTTAGAAATAGAAGAAGCTGTCGAGTATATAAGTGGTTACTCTGACAGCTTATTGTTAAATTATACGAATAACATTACAGAGTCATTTAATTCGTCGATCTGCGCACAAATTGGCGGCAAACGTATTCTTGTTAATGAAAAAGATGGTTACAATGCTAGAGTTGCGGGGGCAGTTTTGCAATTTAATACGCAACAAGTAATTACAGAAGTACATAAAAGCATGAATAAGACTGTTCCGCCTATTGTCGAGAAGTTGGAGAAGCGCCGAAGAGAATCGTATCGACAAATAGAAGGAAGATCAAAAAAATTCAAACAAGAATCGGGAACAGACTCTTATTATGGTCCACACTCGCAAAAACCGGATCTACCGTCCGATGTAATCGAGCAATTTCGACAAAATCATTTAAAAAATTGTCCGAAAATGCAAAAAGTTGGCAAAAAATTGAACGCGACACTACAAAACAAAATGAATCACAACAATGGCTACAATTGAGACGTAAAATGTTAACGGCATCTAATTTTGGAACCGTATGTCGTAAAAGAATGAAAACGTCTTGCGCATTGCCTGTGAAAAATATTTTATATCCTTCTGCTATTGAAACCGAGGCAATGAAATATGGTCGCGAAAAAGAACCAATTGCGAGAAAAGAATTAGCCGAAATACTAAAAAAAGAGATTAAACCTTGTGGATTATTCATTGATATTGAACATCCATACTTGGGTGCTTCTCCAGATGGACTTATAGATGAAGATGGTCTGGTAGAAATAAAATGTCCGCACTCAGCTAAGAACTTAACAGCTGAAGAAGCTATAAAGATGACTCCACTAAAGAACATCTTTGATAAGAAAAATTCAGAACAAATGAATAAAAATCATAAATATTTCTATCAAATTCAAGGCCAGTTAAATATAACGCGGCGAGAATATTGTGTTTTTACTATGTGGACGCCAAAAAGCTTAAAAATAATACGTGTTATAAAGGATAATGATTTTTGGAGTAATAAAATGCTACCCTTTTTAACAAATTTCTATTATAATTGCATGCTGCCAGAAATCTTGGATAGTCGGCATAATAGACATATGCCTATTAGAAATCCAGATTATATAATAGAAGCTCAAAAAGGGGTAAAAAAATTAAATAGTTGTCGACAATGTAATACAGAAAACAAAAATATTATCAAAGAAAGTCAATGTTGCGAATATAATAGTTTATCTATGAAAGCAACTGTCACTCCTGTTACTGTTATAAGTGCGGAACAAGATGACGATTGCGCTATTGTAAATAGTTACTCACAAAATAAAGAAGAACTAACTGAAAACGATATGGCACGACAAAAAAATTTTCTCGATAATCGTCCTATATCTGATAGTGAAATAGAGAAAAATGTATTACCTGTGGATAGTCTAATAAACGACGATTCATTGGACAAATTCTTGCGCGTCGTAAAAAATACATGTCCTTTTGAAACACAAAGTGTGTTATATTTAGAATATTCTCATTTAATTGAAGCAAGTCGTAGCGACAAAAGCTTACAAATTATTGGAGGAAATTGCAGTAATCATTGGCGATGTATATTTTTTGACGGCACCAAGCTTCGAGTGTATGACAGTCTACCCGATTGTACATACAATAAATTGGTGCCTAAAGAAAAAAATTACATTCATCGTCGTTATCCACAAATAAGTGCAAATGATATTATATTTGAAAAGGTTCAAAAACAACCTGATGGCACATGTTGTGGAATTTATGCTGCAGCTTTCGCTACAACTATAGCTTTAGGAGAAAATCCTTGTAATATGACATATTCGAATCGTATTGATAATATGAGGCAACATTTTCTTTACATTATCGAAGAAAATAAACTGTCGCCTTTTCCAAAATTCTAAAAAAAGAATCTTTAGGAAAAGATGCCTCAAATAAATATAACACAAATTTTATGTATTTATATCTAACGATATATACATAAAAAGGTGCATGTTTTTGTATATATCGAAATTATATCGATTTTGCAAATAATACATAAATGTCAATATTGCTATAAATATCAGCACTTGTCTCTTCTCCCTGTAAAATGAAACAAAAATTCTTTCTCGATTTACACCTACCTTGTCGTGGTGAGAAAGCTTTATACTAAAAGGTGTAAATAAGAGAGCAACAAAAAATTAAATTAGAAGTACATTTTATATCATGTTTTTTAGTGTCTAAAAGAAATTGTACAGACACTTGTACCTTTTCATCATATAAATATAAATATAGAAACACATATACATATTATGTATGTCAAAGTGAACAATAAATTGTGTTCAAATAAAGTAAAAAAAAACATTTATATTTATATTCTTATCATCGACATTATACGCAAATATATGCGTATAAGATGATGTGTAACAATGTGTATATATAATTGTTTTTTATAAAATTACAAGTTATATAAAATGGAACATCCTATATATATATATATATATATATACACCCACTAAACAGTTGTTATTTAGAGTAATAAGTAATGTAACAGTTGTTACGTTAATAGTTCATATGAAATATGCTTATATAAATTATTTTCAGTAAACACAAAATAACAGTAATATAACATTAATGATGTAATTTCCTACTCAACAATGTTAACTACTTACTCAACTACTTAACTGCAATGTAACATGCTTTGTACATAACAGTTATATTGTTGAATAGGAAATTGTACCATTAATGTTATGTGTTCGCGAACGCGCTGCGTGAAAAAGGATAGCGCGGCACAAAGGATAAGTCACTTTCGTATCAAAAGAATTTAATTCTCTAACACACTTAATGACAAATACACTTTAACAAAACTTCTTACAAATGTTAATTATTTTACAGTAAAATCGTAATCAAAATCAAAGTAACAAAATGTTAATTATTTTACAGTAAAATCGTAATCAAAATCAAAGTGCGGAATAAGCGGCGGTCGTCAACGAATTTTTAGCGGTTTAACAAGTATGCGGTTTGCGTTATGCGGTTCACGGCGGAAAAGCGATAAGGCTGGCAAGCTGGGTGTGAGCTCCTCTTTTATAATGTTTAGGGTGGAGCTCACCTTCGCGTGAAGCGCCAATAGTTTTGCGTATTTCAAACATTGCGCGAGGTGA